TGGACACCATTCGGACCCAAGAAGTGCCGATTTGATGACAGACTGGACGGCAAAGTATGTGTCATAACGGGTGCCACTTCTGGGATAGGACTGGTTGTCGCCAAAGAGTTAGCCGAAAAGGGTGAGTCATTTCATAATTGTTTTATAAAGTTTATGAAAGTCTTATAAAAATAACATTAGTTTGAAATTTTCAAATTAAATTGATCAATTAAATTGTGTACAAGTTTAAAGTTATATATTGTATAATTATTTATAATATTTGCACCTGATAATAAATAAATAATTTATATTTCTCAAAATTGCTAAATGTTATATAATATTGAATTTTTCAAGTAAATTTAAGTTTTACGCCCTTAAAATATTATTCAATTTTTACAAATTTATTAATAATTTTTACAAGTTAGCATGTTTGATAGCAACTTAAAGTTAATCTAAGACATTAATCATTTTAATTATAAATTCCTATTAAATGAATCTAAGATTTGAATAATTGTTTTATGAAAATATTAAATTTCTAAATTAAATAGCACTTAAAGCTATTAATTCTAACAAATTTGAGATGTTTAACATATTTATCATAACCACTTCTATCTCAAACTTATTATTGTCTAAATAAAGTTTGATTTTAGTAATTTCATTAAGTCTTCAGGGAATGTTTAATTAAACTAAAGTATATTAGAAGCAATTGAATTCAATTATTTGCAATTAAATCAAATCAAATGAATTATATAAATATTTATTAATTGCTTTTGAAACCATTTTCGTTAGAAATGTGGAACAATTTGTTTATTAAAATAATAGTTCAAGCACAAATAAATTAAGTGATAATTATTTTTTCAATTTAAAAAAGTAAATAATTTATGAGTTGTTAAGAATAGTGTGTTTATCTGATTGTAACCAAAGGGGCAAAAGTGATAATTGGTAGCCGAGACCTGACACGGGCTCAAGAAGTATGCGATGATATCCTCAAAGATCATCCCTCGGCTACAGTGGAGTGTCATGTCTGCGATTTGGCCTCATTTGCATCCGTCAGACAATTTGTATCTCAATTACAATCGGAGCCACACATCGATATATTGGTGAACAATGGATCCGTTTTGGGGGTTCCGCTCTCGAAGACTGTTGACGGCTTTGAGACCACCTTTCAGACCAACTATTTGTCACACTTTATGCTCACTCTTTGCCTTTTGGATCAACTAAAGGCATCCCAATTGGCACGAGTTGTCAACACTGTCTCGGCTTCCTATTCACGTATGAATACTATATTCTGTGCATTCATTTCATAACTAATAAAACAAACAAATTATTACTACTTTAAGAGCTCTTTGCGAATGCTTTTGAAGTAATAAATCAAATGTTTTATTAATGACTTATTTATCGTTTTGTTGAAAATTCATTTCAAATCATCGATACCTCTTCACAGGCGCTGCGCCCGAAGGCATCGATTTTGAAGATTTTAATTATGAGAAGAGGAGTAACTATTCGTCACATTTGGCGTACTGTAGGAGCAAATTGGCACTGATTTGGTTCACCAGACAATTAGCCACAAGACTCGAGGCGACGAATGTTCACATTTATGCCGCATATCCGGGACTCTCGAAGACATCGCTCACCAGACATATCACTGGTTTCTATGGACTGATCTGGAAAGTGATGTCATTCTTCATATGCAAGGGTCCAGAGTTAGGGTCACAAACCCTACTGTTTTGTATCGCTGATAAAGAGACCGGAAGGGAAAGCGGACACTACTATAAGTGAGCCATACTTTCATTGTCTTATGTGTCAGAATATTCTTGTGGACTAATTGAGCATAAATTAAAAATGTATTCATTATTCTTATAGTGACTGCAGTTTAGTGGGCGATAAGAATCTGAAGAGTATTGCCACGAATGACGAGTTGGCACGACGTCTATGGGATGTAAGCAAAAGTGTTTGTCAACTCAATTCTGTTGCTCTCTAACCAAATATATTCTCATTGAATACAATATATTCTTATTCTGTTGTGTATTAACAGAATCTTTTTTGTGTTATATATAAAAGTAGATGCAATTCGTAAATGTAATCTAATGTTTTATTAAAATTGAATTCACATTAAACACATTTATCCTTAATTTTTAGTAGTGATATCATATTTTAAATTACCATTAATTCTCTGTATCAAGCAAAGTTTGAATAACATGCAAAATTTTAGGTATATATTATATAAGTTAGTAGATTATTATCAAATTAGAAAAATTATCCAATTTAAAAATGTGTCCAGATTCTAAGATTCATTATTATTTTATTAATTTTATAACCTATGAATATATATTTTATATAATAATATTTAACTTTACAAAAATACTCATTTTATTAAATTAAAATATAAAATGTTTAATAATGTTAATATAAATATAATATTGTGAAACAATCAATAATTTAACATTATAATATACTGTTCTGTATTTACTTAAGTGTTAACTACTTTTAAAGTATTTATTATAATAATTTTTGGCAATTTTTATAATCAATTGCTATAATTTTAAATATTTATATATAATTCAGATAAATTAAACTATTATAAAAATAAAACTTACAATAAAAAAATTATTTAAACTAATAACTTATTTATATCTGTATGTTAATTTTATGTGATATTTACTTAAATGCCAATACTATTACAAATGTTTATCTATCAGTTCATACAAATTCCCAGAATACTAAAGTAGTAAGAATACTAAAAATATTATTATATTAACTTGTAAGTGGAAATGTTAAATTATTACTGTATTATCAATTTATTTGTTTTATAGATATTAGAGTGAAATCTGTTAGAAAAATTAAACAAATAATATAAATATAATTATTTGATCGTTACACATCCTTATCATTTAAGATATTAGCTAAAAATAATTTTTATGAACGTGTTATTAACGTATTAACAGCTCGATCAGTTAATTAAATGCTAAGTTATCAGTAAAAATACTAGAGTACTGTATTAGTACTATATTTAATGATTGGCTAATGTTGAATTTATTTACAAGTTTACTGGAGTTGATTGAGGTTAACTTTAAACATCATTAAATAAATGTGTATTATATTTAGAGAATATTAAATTAAACTTTAACAAAAATGTATTACAAAACCTTTGCATTTATAATATTTGCCATACAATTATCAGGATCATACGCCAACAGAAAATGTGATCCATTATTATTGACACCATATATTGAAACGAGCCGTTTGGTTGAGGCCAAGCAATTAAGTGCCGTAACGGGACTCTCAAAAACATTGAATATAACAAGTTATTCCGGATTCTTGACTGTTAATAAACAATTCAATAGTAATCTATTCTTTTGGTTCTTTCCAGCCTTGGTATGAATTCTTTAAGTTTTATATAAATATAAAATTAAGTTAATGTAAATATTAAATAAAATAAAAAGTATTAAACAAATAAAAATTCCTAATTATGTAAAGAATAACGCATCGACAGCACCAGTATTACTATGGCTTCAGGGAGGACCTGGTTCATCATCAATGTTAGCTCTGTTTACAGAGAATGGCCCATTCACCGTGGACAATAATCATAATTTAGTGCCTAATAAATATTCATGGGCACAAAATTACTCTGTATTATATATTGATAATCCGGTGGGAACTGGATTTAGTTTCACACAAAATATTAAAGGCTTTGCGGCCAATGAAACAGATGTGGCTCTAGATTTGTACAATGGTTTGCAACAATTCTTTACACTATTCTCCGAGTATAGGAATAACGAATTCTATGTGACCGGGGAATCATATGCGGGAAAGTATGTGCCCGCCATTGGCTATAAATTGCATCAAATGGCCGACACTTCTAATATCAACTTCAAGGGTATATCCATTGGGAACGGTTGGATAGACCCCTTGAATATGTTGGACATCGGCTCATATTTGTATCAAATCGGACTAATTGATAAAAACCAATTAAACCATTTCATTGAAGTGCAAAACAAAACTGCTGAAGATATTAAACAAAACAAATACCGGGAAGCCTTTGAACTTCAGGACCAGTTAATAGGTTTGACATAAGTTTCCTTATTATTGTATAAATTATAAATTTTTTCTGATTCAAAAAGGTGGAGATTTAACAAACGGTTCAACATATTTCACAAATGTAACTGGATTCACCTATTATCTCAATATATTAAACAGTAGAGAACCCAAAGGTTTAGATAATTTTGTAAAATTTCTGAATCTGAACACAACTCAAGAGGCCATACATGTCGGGTGTGCCACATATGTGGCCACTAATGAGACCGTTGGAGTCTATCTTATTAAAGACGAGTTTTATTCGGTTAAGCCGTGGTTTACAACACTTATCGATAATTACAAAGTATTAATATACAGTGGACAGTTAGATATTATAGTGGCCGCTACGCTTACGGAAAATTTTCTCGAAAATTTGGGTAAACTTTTGAATCAAATATTAAAATACTTTATAAATGTTTATTAAAAATCGTATTAAAGAGTGGAAACATTCAAAAGAGTTTTCTTCTGCCAAACGAATCGTCTGGAAAGTAGACAAAGAGGACAATGAAGTGACCGGTTATGCGAAAAAAGTGGACAATTTGACACATGTTATCATTAGAAATGCCGGACATATGGTGCCCACCGATCAGCCCAGGGCTGCCTTGGATATGATGAACAGGTTTATTAGGAATCAACCCTTTGGCCATTGATTTGATATATAAGTTAAATATAAATCATATGTCTATTTATTAATTAAGAAAATAAATGAGTTGTCTTTTATGACTTTTTATTGGTTACATTTATTCATTATTAAAAGTAAAAATTTATTACATGTCATTATTTGAATGAAATTACATTACAGTAATACGAAAATATATAATTTATATTAAAATCACAGTTGAGTTGAATATCACAGATAATTTAAGGCAAGTTTTATAGGATTTTAAATTCAAACAACACATTATTCAGAAGATTTATGTTTAAAATTGTGTTATTTCTCAAATTATTGGAATTGGTTTGAGTTATTGTATTAATTATTATTATTTGACTTCAATGTTGTACTTAAGTTTCAACACAAGTATGAAATAAACTGATAAATGATTGAATTAAAAGTGAAGTCCAGTTTCAATATGTTTGACACGAGTTATGGTTCCGATAGAGTTATTGTTGTCTTTTGTGTTGAATTGCATTAAATTGTATTCTTCTTGACATTTATCCATAGATATAGAGCTCAAGGAACCGGTAGTATTGCCACTGCCTTCAGATGTAAATCTGTAAAATATATCACTTTTAATAAATTGCACCAGAATATTTTATTTATTCTGTTATATTAGCATTTTCAACATGAAATTGAATGATTACTTGTGGAGCTCGTCGTTAGCCATACATTCGGAGTCATTTTTATCCAAATGGTCCCTGATTATATCCGCCAAATGGTTCGGTGCTATCATTTTGACAGAAACTAAACATAAGATAAAAAATTCATATTTTTAATTCCAATATT